TAGGGCTAAAAATAAAGGTCAGGTTTACACTGGAGCTGAATGTCCTGGGCTTTGACTCCCATCAAAACAGGTGTGGGACAGTCTTTTACACAAATGGAAATTAGCTCAAATTAGACCTGATTGCCAGGGAAAAGTGTTAACTCAGTACTTCACAGGTATTTAAAATGGAACAATGGGTTTGCACTTGTGAAGGATCCCAGAGTAAAAAGGCTTTGTCCTGGAAGGAATCCACTGTCAGTTTTTAGCCTAGTGGCAGGTCAGTGATCCTCAGTCTGTTCGAGCCATGCATAGATTTCTGGTCTATGTTGGCCTATACAGCTAAACGTTTAGTGCAATCAGGACTCATAGTAGAGATGATATCTTTTATTAGACCAACACAACTTTTGCAAAAAAAAAAAATTCTTTAATTGCACACTTTCGGGCACCAACACCCTTCATCAGGCATTGGAGAAAAGATTGTAAAAGTTCTCCTGGGTAGAAATGAAAGTTCATATTTCATAGAGTCAATAGATGGAAAACTCCTCTGGGCAGTCAGTTCATAGCTGGTTCATAGCTGGTAAATGTTTATTGGACTCTCATGAGTGATCCCACGCCTGAGAGCTGTGACCCAATCACTGTTTTACAGTAACAGAAGTACAATGCAAGAAGAATGATGCAGGGTCTGCCTTGCCCCAGCAGCGAAATCATGTTACATTCAGGAAACTTTTATAGTGAAGATGAGCTGGTCTGGGTTGCGTTTGACCAGCAGGAGAGCCATGCTTACAGCAGGCATCATTGGCACTGCCCCGTGCTTTGACAGAGGTTATAGCTTTGATTGAGGTGATAGGTATGTAGCAGGATTCAGGGTCAAGGAATCTAACAGGGGCCACGATGTGAACTCTATGCTTTAAGTCAACAAATGTTGATTATCTGCACTTACTTGCTGGAATCACCCCACCAGACAAGAGCGCAGCACAGAACGCACCCAGCAGATTGAAGAGGCACCCACTACACAGCCATAACGTGGCTCCCGATAGACTGAAACCATGGAAAAGCCCCCTTTCTACAAGGGGGCCACTAAATCAAACACCGACAGCCACACCACCAGAAATGTGGCGGTCACAATTAGAAATGGCCTGGGTGGGAGTTAGGATGAATATCAAAGCTGCCAAATATCTCCCTAGAGGAGCAGAGCTCGACTGGCCGACACGGAGAAGCTCCAACTGCCTCCGAACAGGCCAGTAACACTACAGTTAACAGGCAGGTGTGGGGGTGCGCCAATGGCACAAGCACCACGTGCGGATGTGCAGGACACCTTCAGGCTCCAGAACACTTGCCGGCCTGCCTACGTACAGGGCTGCCACATGCTGACCAGGGCCTAGCTACGGGTATGTACGCGCCTGTTTCTGGGCCCAGCTTTGCATACAGCAACAGGACATGAGCAGACCAATGACTGTAATGGGGGCACCGCTAGCAGACTTATGATTGCAACAGCGGTGCCCAAGCAGGTGTGCCTGCGACCTCTGGGTGTGGCATGTGGCAAACTGGGGAGGTGACAGGCAGCACCGCAGCAGATAGGGCAGGGAGCACAAAGCAGAGCAGGGAAGATGAGCCAGGAGGAGAAAGCAGAGTGGCACACTGGGCTGCAGGCAACTTCTGGGTCTGGCACACGGCAGATCCGGGAGGGGACAGGCGGTGTGGGACTTGAATGGGCAGCGAGCAGAAAGCTGACCAGCAGATCAGGGACGGGAGAGGATCTGCCACCCAAAGCCACCCTGGGTCACCTGCTACAGGACCCCACCTCCTGGGCAGGGGCAGAGCTGGTGGTGTTCTTGCGGGGAGGTGAAGCAGCCGCTCGGTGACCTGTTCTCTGCTGTAGCGCCCCCTGCTCGCGGGGAGCTTGCGCACGCAGCCCCGCCCCGCGGCCCGAGCGCGCCTGCGCAGCCCAGCAGGCGGCGCTGCCCCCCCAGCACTCGAACGCTGGCGCCAGCCCCGCCCCTGGCATCACAGCGAGGCGCGAGGGGCGGAGCCTCCCCGCGGCCCGCCCTCTCTCGCCGCGGCGCGTGCTGCAGCCGCCTCCCCTCACACACAGCG